TGTTCAGTACGCAGCAACTGGTCCACGCGCAGCTCACGTCCACCACCCTCTATGCCAACCAGGGTTCCATCCGGGCAGGAGTCCCCGGGTCCCTCCACACTATGCAGCAGCGGATGCAGGCACTGGGATAGGTGTCGAAGGCGCTCCTCTTCACGATGCAGCTATCGTAGCTGGTATCAGCATGACCAGCATAAACGCTCCCGCTTAAGCTCCCGCTCTGTCAGGCGTCGCACACGGGGCTCCTGCCGCGCGTCACTGGCATCGCAGCTCCAGGCGCCAAAGCGAGTCTCGGGACAGTACTTCCAGCGAGTACCAGTCCTCGATGTCGAGGTCCCGGTCCCATGGAAGACAGCATCGTAGGCACCGCCGCTCCTATGGTACTGTTTGGTCGGTGGTGACCTCTGCCTCAGCACCCAGTCGCCCCTCACTGGGCCATACCGCTCAGCCGGAGCAGACAGTGCTACCGGGCCCACAGCATGGACAGTGGCAAGGAGTCCCGTGGCAGGGACAGTGGTGTCAATGGGCACCGTGGCTGCTGATGCCCACCCAGGCAGGAACCCAAGGGCGTCGGAGGCCCCGTCGGCCTCGCTATCTAGGCAGAGGGACAAGTGGACAGGTCATGAGTCATTGGCTCCGTGCCTGGACTCTGACCTGGGGGTTAATCCCCCGGCACCGGCTGAGGCCCACAACCCCGTGCCAGCCTCCTCTCCTGCACTGGATGACACCATCACATTACCGCTGCCCTCTGCTCCACAGGAAGACTTCAGGGCGCATCAAGACCTGCTAAAGCGGGTGGCGTCAAGCCTCCAGCTGCAACCCAAGGAGATGGAGGGCCCGTCTGATTCCCTCTTTAATGTACTGTCCCCCTCGGTGCCTGGCTGTGTGGCTTTACCCCTTCACCAAGGAGTAGCCAACATCTCCAACGCCTTGTGGCTAACTCTTGCCTCTCTGGCCCCGATTTCCAAGAAGGCTGAGAGGAAGTATTTTGTGCCGGCCAAGAACCATGAATACCTCTACTTCCACCCAGCACCTAACTCTCTGATGGTGGAATCTGTGAACCACTGGGAGCAGCAGGGCCAGCCTGCACCCACCCCCAAGAATAAAGACACCAGGAGACTAGACTCTTTTGGTAGAAAACTTTACTCCTCTTCGAGTTCCAGCTCAGGGTGGCCAACCATCAGGCCTTACTGAGCCAATATGATTTTAATTTATGGGAGTCCCTGCCAAAGTTCGAGCCACTCCTCCCAGAGCGGGATAGGAAGGATTTTAAGGCATTGGTGGACAAGGGGGCGATGACAGCCAAAGCTGCCCTGCAGGCAGCATCGGACGCGGCGGATACAGCAACTCACTCGATGGCCTCCCCGATCTCCATGCGCAAGACATCATGGCTCCTCCTGTCCAGGTTTTCGGCAGAGGCCCAGTCCCTCATGCAGGACCCGCTGTTAGACGGGAAAGCCCTGTTCGCCGAACAGATGGATGTCAGGCTGCATAGGATGAAAGACTCTCGCACGACCCTGCAGACCTTGGGCCTATACGTACCTCCGGCTAAGGACAATGCCAAACCGCAGACGTCAGCTCTTCACAGAGCAGATATGAGCCCCCTTACAAGAGGCCAAGAGACCAAAAGCGCTGGCTTCAGTGACAGTCCCGTTCTGCCCCACAGCCTGGGCCTTCTAAGGGCAAGAGGCAGGAAAAGAAGCGGTTTTGACTATTTGCAGGGGGGGCACCAGGGTAGTTGCCATGGAAACCCCCCTACTAATAAAGTTTGTGTTCAGCAACCGATTTTCTGCCTTCCATGGGGAATGGTCACGAATAATCTCGGACTGCTGGGTCCTCAACACCATTTCCAAGGGCTACATGTTGCAGTTCAGTCCACCCCCGCTCAACCACCCCCCGTCCCTGGCGGGCTCAGGGGACCCAGAGCACATTCACCTCTTAGGTCAGGAGGTGGAACGACTCCTACGCCTGGGGGCGGAGGAGAGAGTGCTAGTAGAGTTCCAGGGCAGGGGCTTCTACTCCCAATATTTCCTGATCCCAAAGGCAAAAGGGGGTCTCAGGCCCATCCTAGATCTGCGGAATCTCAATTGGTTTATGGTCCACTCCAGGTTCCGCATGGTGTCCCTGGCTTCTATTATCCCCTCCCTGGACTCGGGGGACTGGTACACGGTCCTGGACCTTTAGGACGTGTATTTCCAGATCCATGTTTTTGAAGGGCACAGGCGGTTCCTCCGTTTCCTGGTGGGGCCCGACCATTACCAGTTCACGGCTCTCCCGGTTAGCCTATCCACGGTGCGCAGGGTATTCACAAAGTGTATGATGGTGGCGGCAGCCTACCTCAGACGAGAAGGGGTCCAGATGTTCCCATATCTGGACGATTGGCTTCTCAAGGGCAACTCACTGTCTCAGGTGAGGGCCCGTGTGGATCTGCTCCTGTCTACATGTGCCAATCTCGGCCTGTTGGTAAACGAGACCAAATAATGCTGGTCCCGGTGCAGTGCATAGAATTCATATGGGCACTACTGGACTCCTTAAGGACCACAGCCTCTCTCCCAGTGGGCAGGTTTGAAATCCTGAAAGGTCTCATCGCCTCGGTCACGGCTTGTCCGATGACAACAGCAAGGCATGCCTTCAGATCCTGGGACACATGGCAGCATGCACGTATGTGGTCCTGCACGCCAGGCTCCGAATGAGGTCCCTCCGGCTATGGCTAGCCTCCCACTTCTCCCAAGCACAGGACGGCCTGGACAAGGTCCTCACGGTCCTGGTAATTGCCTCCCTACAATGGTAGTCCTCCCTGGGCAACATGCTTCAAGGGGTTCCTTTCTGGGAGACGGCCCCGTCAGTAGACCTGGTGTCTGATGTGTCGGACGTGGGCTGGGGAGCCCACATAGGGAACATGCAAACCCAAGGGATGTGGTCAACCTCTGACATGTCCCTCCACATAAGTGTCAGGGAGCTCAGGGTGATACGGTTCGCGTGTGTGGCTTTCATCACGCAGCTTCATGGCAAGGTAGTCAGAGTCCTTACGGACAACACTGCTGCGATGTTCTACATCAACAGGCAACGTAGGGCAACTACTCCCTGAGCTTATGGGAGTTCTGTATAGTCCATGACATCTCCCTGAGGGCTTTCCACCTACCGGGCGCCCGCAATGCACAGCCCGATTGCCTCAACAGGGTTTTCTCCCCCCATTACGAGTGGTCGCTCCACTCGGAGGTCACTCACCGGCTCTTCCGAGAGTGGGGAATTCCCCACGTGAACCTCTTTGCGACCTGCCGGAACCGGCGTTGCCCCCCGTTTTGTTCCGGGATGGGGTTGGTAAGGGACGCGATCTCAGATGTCTTCCTCCTGCAGTGGTCGGACCAGCTTTTCTATGCTTTTCCACCATTTGACCTTATAGGCAAGGTTCTAGAAAAGTGAAAACAGACAAGGCACGTATCATCCTGGCCCCATCAACACTGGTACTGGACCTGTTGGCGGCCCCTCCGAGGAGGTTGCCGCTTCGCCCAGATCTCCTCTCCCAGAACGGGGGCCGCCTCCTTCATCCCAATCTGGCCACTCTTCACCTGACAGCGTGGCTGCTCAGTGGCTAGACGAGGAGGAGTTCTGAGGAAGTCAGGCGGGTCCTCCTGGAAAGTAGGATGCTGTCCACATGCTGGACGTACCTGGCGAAGTGGTCCAGATTTTCCAGGTGGGCGAGGGAGCGAGGAGTCTCCCCATTGTCCACACCACTCCAGCTTATCCTTGAGTACCTCCTGTCCCTTAGGACCCAAGGGCTGGCTCCTGCCTCTATCAGTACACTTGGCAGCCATATCGGCCTTCCACCCACCGGTGCAAGGGCACTCTGTCTTCTCCCATACTATGACCTCCCGCTACCTGAGAGGTTGACCATTCATTCCTGTATGCTAGATCCCCTGTACTGCAATGGGACCTAAACCTGGTGGTGTCCTGCCTCACGGGGCCTCCCTTTGAATCCTGAGCCATGTGTTCCTGGTCTCACCTCTCCGAGAAGGTAGCCTTCCCTGTAGCAATCACGTCGGCCCAACGTGTCTCAGAGCTCAGGGCCTTGACCTCGGAACCTCCACGTACAGTCTTCCAAAAGGATAAGGTCTAACTTCGCCCACACCCTGCATTCCTCCCAAAGGTAGTCTCCGCCTTCCATATGGAACAGGACATCTTCCTTCCCATGCTCTGTCCCAAGCCCCATTCCTTCAATGAGGAACGCCGCCTCCACACACTCAATGTGCGCAGGGCACTGGCCTTCTACGTGGATCGGTTTAAACTGTTCTGTAAATCTTGTAGCTCCCCACTCCCCTTATAGCATGATATAGAGGCGCCACTCCAGGGGTAGCAGTGGTGCTTCCCCCCCTCCCTGGGTACTGCTAAGGGAAAAACTTCCGGCACTGGTGCACATGGCGTGCACAGACACCTGCAGTGGAATAGACATGAGCAACATGTCTCGAAGAACACCAGTTACAGAACAGGTAACTGTCTTTTACTTCAGCATAGTAACTGGGTCTTTGAGGTGATTGTTTGCATGGATACACTGAGTATGCACGAATACATGCATGCAGTGTTCATGTGGCTTATCACAGACACCCAACTGTGCAACAACCTAAACAGAATTTCTACATCTCTAGAGAGCAAAGGGGGAGTGCTGAGTTTGGCCGTTGCTACAAAGTGCCTTCCCTGGGTCTGGAATGATGAAGTCAAATTATGATTTAAGTGCGCCTTTCTGACTGCTGCAACCCTAAGCGGCTCATTTTGGCAACTGCTTCTCCTGCTCTTCAGGTTTAAGGAGATAGCATTTTAAATATGCCTCTTAGTGCCATTTCATTACTAATCCTTTTGCAGAAGCTAACAGTACAAGTATTTTGAACAGGGTAATCCAAAAATACAGAGTCGCTTGAGGTTGTTCCTAGTCCTGATCATTTCCATTAGATATAATAATTAAAAAAAAAGTGTGGACTGAAACATTACATTGTCCTTTTGTCTTGTAGAGCTTATCTCACTGTGAGCTGATCACAGATGATGGGATTCTGCATCTGAGCAACAGTACCTGTGGTCATGAAAGGCTCCAGGTCCTCGAGTTAGACAATTGTCTTCTTATCACCGATGTGACCCTAGAGCACCTGGAGAACTGCCACAGTTTGGAGAGAATTGAGTTATATGACTGTCAGCAAGTCACACGAGCAGGAATCAAAAGAATAAGAGTATGTGTTGTGTTTTTAAAGGTTCAGCTTTGGGAGAGACAGTTATTTGTGCAGTCAAGGGAGCCTGATCCTATCGGATACACTTACAGTAGCTTAACAGAGTTTTCATCGTACCTTCCCTTGCTTTGGGCTAAGGATGTTGATTAACATACTTTATAAGATCCCCAACTTTAGGCATTAGAAGTACCATGGGTATATGATGAAAAATCACCACCCGGTGCCTAATTCCAGTTTTAGTCCAAGCTACTGTTGGTATCAGAATAATTGTCCATGCTGATCTTTTCTCCCACTGATGTAGAGTCCAGCTGTAGCTCTTTGTTTATTTTCTAATGTTTGTTTCCCATTCCCTCAGGGTTTTGTTAAGTGACAGTTGTGTTTTTATAGGACTGTAGAATTCTTTAAATTCTACCAACCATGCATACTCATTACAATGCAGATATAATGAAGCATAGGACATTTGGGTAGTAGGGGCAGTTAGGCCTGTGGATCTACCTAGTAACAGCAGACCTAACATCCCCTGCCCTTGTAGTATCTGTCTCCCCTCCTCTATGTAACTCCCCGTGTTTTAAGCACAGGAATTTTTCTGCTGAGCATGTGGCAACATTTAGGGCATAGTACTGATCCATGGACACAGTAATGCTGTGCTAATTCACTTTCAAATTAATCAGTTTGCACCGATGAAGTCTGCCTCTTGCCCTTGCAGGAGCTGCTAAAGGTACCACCACTCCCTGCCCTGCTGATTTCTGGGCTGAGGCACGCATGGTTGTAGGGGAGACATATAATTAAAAGTCTTGCTTCTATTTCTTCCCTGGCAAGAAATCCACCCTCTAGTGATTAACAGCAGAATGAAAGTTAGCCAGCCCACATCTGCAGTGTAAATACCAGTTCAACCGTCGCTGATACACTGAGATTTAAGATGATAGCTTTTGGATGAGTGAATGGCCAGGTTCTGGATTATTACAGTGCCTTAACTTGTCCAGTTTTACTGGACGTAAGCACTGGGACTTGGCATCCACGTAATGCAGGGTAAACCATTTTTTAAAACATGGCTTGCCTGGATGCACTATCTGTAGATATGAGCAGGAAGAAAAGCTTTGACAGTAGTGTGATCTGTCAGCAATAGTTTGGTTTTGCCCTTCATACTTTGTGGTTACATTTTTCATTTGAATTTTCATCTACAGGCTCATTTACCTGACGTGAAAGTTCACGCCTACTTTGCTCCAGTCACCCCTCCTCCTTCTGTAGGAGGTAGTCGACAGCGACTCTGCAGGTGCTGTATTATTCTTTGACAGTAGGAGCATCAGCAAAGGAAGATTGTGGAAACAAAATCAGACTGCAAATGGCTTGCAGAGTGTCAGTTTCTTAACTGCCGTAGGAGTGATGTTGCCGTCATCCAATTTTGTGCTGGTACTGACTCAAAGGTGTTTTCACAGGTAAAAAGTCTTAATGTTACATGCGGATGTGGAGTAACTGATGCTCTCTCTTTTTTTTTTTAATTACATCTACTCCACCATCCCTGCTGTTGATAGGACAATCCGAGTACCATTTGCTAATGTAGAGTGGGGTATTGCAGAGTTGTAGATACTCAGTGAAAGCCCCAACCCTGTACGCCTCACTAAACTGGAATATTAGTTCCTATTTGTAAGCATAATTCAGGGTCTTAATCCAGCATGAGTCCAAACTGCTGTTGTACAATACACACAACCAATTACATCATCAGGTTTAAGGACAAATCAGCTTTAGCAGAAGTTGACCAAAAAAGGGAAAGTAATCATGAAAAACAGCTTCCTATTTTGCTACAGTTTTTAATTTCTACAAAAACTCCCCACCATGTTAAGAGGTAGTAAACCTCCAGAAAACTATTTAATTTAATTTAAACTTTGTTTTATACGAAAGAGCACTCCTCAAATTGTTGAATATTTCTCTAAAGAGTCTTAAGTGTTACCAAGTAGGTTAGGCTAAGAAAGGTATGGCAGTTTGTGCCCTGTTCACAGGTCTTTTTATATGCTCTAGCTGAGTAGGTAGAGCTGTTTACACTAATAGTGGCTGAAAGAATATTTGTGTATGGTACTTATACTTCCCGCATTGCATCTCCCCATTTAATCCTAAACAGCAGCTTTGGGGGGGGGGGGGGGGGGTGTATTACTGCCTTTTTTACAGAGTTAACTTAATTTGCTCTAGGTCATATCCTAAATCTGTGACAAAGCAAGGAACTGAATGCTAGGCTCCTGCATCCCAGGCCTGTACCCTAACCAATTAGCTGAGTGGTTATCAACCTGTGGTCTATGGACCCCCTTTGGGGGCCATAGACTATTCAGATTTCCAAAGGGGTCTGCAACGAAAAAAGGTTGAAAATCACGGGGTTAAGTAATTTAATGTAGTTGACATGGCTGAGCAGATTGAGAGCCCAAACAAGCAGTGGTTTTTGTTTCCTTAAAGAAGGAAAGTTTTGAAGCCAGACTTTTCAGAAACAGAGAGCGTTCAACATGACAATTACATTAATACCTTTAACCTTTTTTTTAATCTGGTAGGGTGACATCAAGGCCTCATTGACATCAGTAGGCCAGAATTTCAGCTGTAGATTTAAGCCTTCTACAAAGGAGAGTGAAATCTGAATGTAAAACTACAAGTCTAAGGGGGAAGCTACATTTTTAGTGTGCACGGCATTTCTCTGTATACTCACTTAGGCACCCAAGCTCAACATTAGCCCCTGAAAGGAAAATATCTTGGGCTTAAAAAAGACTGGTCAACTGATATAGTGTTTAAGTCCTGAAAATGATGTAATGTAATTTGACAAAAACTAATAGACATTCCCCCCCTTAATGGTAAGGCAATATTTCCAGTATGTGTAGCCTAAGTTATTGGCAAAACATAGCTGAATGCAGTATGTACGTTTACACCTCACCCTTAAAACTGATCTTAATCTGGAATGTTTAGAACTATGTTTTAAAACGTTTATGTGAAAATTTAAGGCAGCTTTTGACAGCTGCACTTCTGTTGTATGCAGATCTGTGAACTTAAGATACTGACATAGCTGAAAATCTCTATGAATATGGTATAAAGACCTAGTATTAAACTTTGGGGGGGTTCAGCTTTGCAGCAACAGCAAAAATTCCTGGATTAGTTTTCATATTATGTGTATACTTGTATTATCAAGATTCTCATTTATGGAATTTTCTTAGCAGAACATTGGGGGAAGACCAAAATTAAATGTGAACTCAGTGCAACTTGTCAGAATGAGTAGTTGTGTGTTGCCTTAGGTTTGGCTCATTTTTATGGATCTTATTGTGAGGGCATTAAAGTTGTACAAAAACCAAAATTTAACATATGCTTACACTAAGAAAAATGATATAGGAAACAAATAAACGATCAGCTGATAATTTACTTGAACTTCTGTTTCACTGAAAGCCATTAATATTTTACTCTTTTTAAAAAAAAGAGTGATTTTGGTCAAGCTGAAATTAATGAGTTCTTTCAATTTGTTTTCTAAAATATTGCTGGGGAGCTGAATTATCTGCTCTGAAGTGCATTGCTCCTACTAACAATGTTAATTCTATCTTAGCAGAAAAATAAGCACATTTACAAAATTATTGAAAAACATTTATTATACTTAAATTGAAATGTGTACATCTTAAAATAAAAGCAATTTGCTGGTGCCATAATTTAATTCCAATTTCAAGTGAGCTGGACAAACTACTATACACTTCCTTTAAATTTAGTTGGATACTTTCCAATCAAGGATTTTTCCACTCTTATAAAACATTTGGGATTTGAAAATGGTGCTGAGGTGAAATGACAACTGTCAGTTGAATAAACTACCAGTACCCAAAGATGAACAATTTATAGGCAGAAGAAACTTGAACTTAAGTCCACAAAATTCCATTTTATCAGTGTAGAAAAACATTTAAATTTGCAGAATTACTACAGCTTTAAAAAGGCTTTCTTGGTAAGCACTTAACCCAGCTAAAGAAGGAATTAAATAATATCAAAGTAGCATTTTGCATGCTGTAGTAGTTTTTGTTCTCAATAAATGATTTTGCACTACAGCATTCAAAACTTTCAAATTGATTTAAAGGGAGGGGGGATACTGTGAGTAAAAGGGGGATTTTTCTGCCTTTGAAAAATCTTCCCCAAAGTACCAAAATAATAATACATACTCATAAGTGGACATTAATATTAAATGTTTGAATAGCAGTGCCATACGTTTGACAATTTCAAGGAAAAACTCAATTTTGAAAAGCACATTGCCTATTTCAAAAATAATTATTTGGTCATATGGAAGAGGCACTGTAAGAAAAAAATTTACAGTATCAATCTGAGAATAAAGAAATCACAGAAAAGGTCAAGATACCTGCCCATAAAGAGTGATTATAGCAAGACATACCTGCTACTAAAGAGATTAAGTGGTGTATATTTAGTGTTTCTTGAGCAATGTAATTGACAGTACTTAAAGCTGTGTTGTTGCCCCTTGGTGCCAGTGGGTCACATTTCCCCCCCCCCCCATCATTACTGGCAGTTTGTTGTTTTTAAATCCACCATTTTAAAAAGCAAAAAAAAAAAAAACAAAAAAAACAACCACCCTGCAGCAATGCTTCTTAGAGAAACTGGAAACTAAAAATTAAGGATGCATAGGCAATTATGTTTCCATTAAATTTGTTAAAAGCAAAACAATTACTTCGTACCCCACAGGATTTATGTTAATCCTTTCAACAAGGTACTGTCAATAATGCAGTTTGCTGCATGCATATATTGCATCTGGCTAGGACTTATTAAAATCCTATTCTGGCATTTACATTTCTTACATACACAATTTACACAGGGAAGCTGTTTTGACAGTTTCCCTCTCAAAGACCCAACAACCTGATCACTATCATCTTAACTACTCATCTCCACACAGATTACTATGTGCTCTGCTAACATCAAAAAATAAAATCAGCAAGATACAAGCAAGTAATAGACAAACTGGCACAGAAAGGTAAATGCCCCAGAATAAGTTTACATTCATCTCCAAACTGGACACAGTATAATAGGAAAGCAATACTGCTTCTAGAAACTGTATCTACTGGCCATAATTTGCCTTATTTCGGTAAAGGGCAAGCACCTTTGCTTATATTGTCTTCCATGCCTGTACATAGGCTGTCATGGCATTATACCTCTTATGAGGACACTTAGCTATGGCAGTGATAAGAAAGTTCACCTATCAAACAGCTCATTAGAAAGGTCTTGTGTTTTCAATATGAAACATTTTATATGGTGAAGTCCAATCCTAAGAGTTTTTGGATGTTCTTCATCGTCATTAAGCATAACTTCATTCTGCATTGGAATATCAGTCCAGTATATATCCTCTCTCTCTCTCTATATATATATGACATCATTTCAGAATTATATGGAAACCTTCACCATTTTCAGCTGCAGAGAAGAAAAAGCACAGGTTTAGATGAAAGAATGGCATCCCTTTACCCAAGACCCCAGATACTAACCAGTGTATTAAAACAGTCTAAAATTCATGTAAGTTATTGACACTCATATTGAAAAGCAAACTTCTAACTACTAATTTGATACTGTGTTATAGTATGACCAGACCATTTTGGGAATAAAAACAGCAAACTTTCCCAGCAGAACACATTCTGCACCACTTTCCAACAATATTGACACACTAATAACTTAAGCTCAAATTATCTTGAATGTAATTTTAAATATCTAGACACTTGCTTTGCTACTTTTATTTCTACAACTTTTGTTCCCATTTCAATGCACGCAGTCCTCCTTCTTTCCTGTTTTTGATCTCTCTCATCAGTTCTGGGTTAGTTATCCTAAAATAAAGCAGGTAAATTAGCAAAACAAGTGTGTGAATATATAGAATAGGAAGAAGCCCATTTGCCCTGTAGCCCAGAACATCAGGATGCAGATAAAGCAGTGGGCCTGTTGAAACAAATGCAGTAGATAGTTACTGAACTTCTGAAAAATATTTTTCAAAACAATGTTAGTATCTGTAGAAGAGCGCAGATTCACTGGGAGTAGAAATTAGTGACTGAATATATTTACAGACACAACACCACAAAATTTTGGGGGAAAAGCTGGATTTATGACAGATACCTGCTGCTATTTTTTATTTTTAGCCAGAAGATCTGAATGTAAGAGAGATCTGATTAATGACAAGCCACAGACACAAACCTCCTGGTATGATGTTAAGAGACCCCCTACAAATAAATTTTAACACCTTGTAGATGTAAAAGTGATGAATCCAAGGCATTTGGATGTGTTATGTATTAGCTGTAAGACATGGTATATAGTGCGCAAATATGGAAGGAATAGGGGCTGGAAAACACATCTGAGGCATGTAAGCAACACCAGGAAGTGTGAGGAGACCAGACTAGGGATAGTGATGAAGCAAGCTGGAAAGCAGGAAGAAGTATGCATGTAATGCCAGCCTAAGCATGTGCAGCCACTAAATGATTTTTTTTTTTTTTTAGTTTTATACAAATGTGAATTGGGACAGCCAGCTAGAGTAGCATATACACCAAGATCACAAGAGGGATTTGTAGCAACCCTACCTAAAATAATGCTCCATCTGTTGGCTCTCTAACCTTTGTAAATTTGTCCTGCATCAGGCTGCAACCTTCAATTTTTATTACCCACTGTGGCATATTTCTATCTTTGAAACTTTAAAATATATCCCTATATAACTTAAAGTACTGTTGGAGTATCTCGAACACTAGTGAGCACTGATACCACAGTGCTTTAGAATCACACTTAAATCCTATGAACTGTTAGTTTTAAAGTGACATTTGGGGATTAGATTTGGATCAGGTTACTTCACTCAAATTTTCAAGACAGCTGTACTGGCATGAATTTATATCTAATAAGTAACAATCTCTAGATGAAGGTTTATCTAAAAGAAAAAGCATTAGACCTTTCATATTATAAAATCTCTTAATTTGGAGTTGAAAGCAATAGTTTCCACCTCTTTCCCTCAAGTTACTTTACTTGGCTGCACTGTTACTTGTCTGTAGAAACAACACTGCTGGCATGTCTATGAGCAAAACTCTGCCTCTTAGTTAAAATCTAGAAGCTATTTAGACCAGTTATCTCCATTATTACAAACAATAATATACCTTTTATTGCAGTGACTAAGAAGCAACTCTCATCTTGAAAGTTCTGAACCATCTAGAAAGAAAAAGGAGATATTAAAATCCCAATTTTGTACCATCTAGGACAGGAGTGGGCAAACTTTTTGGCCTGAAGGCCATATATGGGTGGGGAAATTCCATGAATGTAGGGCTGGGGCAGGGAGGGAGTACAGTGTGCAGGAATGGGCTCAGGCCACGGGGTTGGGGTGCAAGAGGGGTGCAGCAGGGGGCTTAGTGCAGGGGGTTCGGGCGCTTACCTGGAGCAGCTCCAGGGTGGCAGCGGTGTGCAGCAGGGCTAAGGCAGGCTCCCTGCCTGCCCTGGCCCTGCGCTGCTCCCAGAAGCTGCCCACACCACATCCCTGCCACCTCGCAGGAGGAGGGGCAGCGTGGAGACCGAGGGCTCCACCCACTACCATTGCCTGCAGGTACCTCCCCCGAAGCTCTCATTGGCCGCAGTTCCCCCTTCCCGGCCAATGGGAGCTGCCAGGGGCTGTGCCTACAGGCAAGAGCAACACACAATGCCCTCTGCCCCCCCAGGGGCTGCAGGGACATGGTGCCGGCCACTTCTGGGAGCAGTGTAGAGCCCGCGGTGCCACAGGGATGGCAATCCCACCAGGGCATCCAAAGCCCTGATAGGCCGCATCCAGCCTGCAGGCCATAGTTTGCCCACCCCTGATCTAGGAGGCCAGCAAGCCAGTTAAGCAATTTGAATGCCAAAGTGATCCATAAATATTTCTAAACAGGCACTCTATGCAACTATTTTCATAATATTTTTCTCAGTATATGTAGTTATAGACAAAACATACTAGTACAACGTACTAGATTTCCCCAAAAGGAGCTACTAAAATGTCTAAGTACAAGCATAATTTATTGATATTTCATTTACAACATCACTACTTAAAGGGCTCCAGCATTATGTGGCTAGGATCTTTGTCTGCATGAACTGCTTAAGTAATTTGCAGCTAACAATAAACCTTGCTACTTGCATACTGTTTCTTCAATACGTATCTAGACAAGACGACAAATTGCATCTCATAATTAACTGCCTACATAGTAAATCTCATTCCCATAATCTTTCAGTTCTTAAATTACTAATTGTGAGGAAGAGATAAATTACACAAACCAAAGTGTCAGTTAACTCTTCGATTTTTTTTTTTTTTTTTTTTTTACTGTTGCAAGGTAAAGACTTCATATTATTACAATTGATGTACATGCAACATCATGAAAATATTAATGTTCAAATATTATATACTACTGGGACCTTCTCTCAGATCCCTTGTGCCCTAGTCATTACTATACTGCCAGTAATGAATTCTGTACTAGGATAACCACTCACACCATAATCTGGTTAAGCCACATTCTACTCTGAGTTTTATGGAATGTCTTTTTGACCTTTGGGAGTGAAGAAAGGAGAACTTCAATCTTTCGTTCCAGTCACACTGTTGCTATGAAAAACACAAGGTCTAAGTATCAGAAGACATTAAGGGTGTGCTACATACTCTGCAAGAGAAAAAAGCAGTGCTGCTCAGAGAAACCTGCCTAAAGAAAGTGTGGATACAAATGTGTTTTAAAATAAACCACAACTCTTAAAACTTACCAACTTTTAATTTGTAAACTTGTCAGTTTTGAAATAACAATTTATTTTAAGAAACAAATGAAACAATGGAAAAGTTTTTAAAAACAAAAAAATTTCATTACCTGATCACTAACGAGGATGTGGATACCAGTAGGACCCTGTCTGTAAACCTGATTAATCTGATGCAAAGGAATATTAAACACCAAAGCAAGCTTGCGAGTGACTTCTGAGGCTGCCATTTCTTCTAAGTAGATTGCATGATAAACTAGAAGAAAAAAGCTTTTTACTTTTAATAAGAATTATACTGTCATTGATAATCATTTAGGTGAAAACACATTCCTGTAGGGTTGTAAAATTTACATCCCCCCACTTTAAAGTTCACCTTTTTTGGGTTGGTTTTAAACTGTTCTTGGTCTGCAATACCTTCTTAGAAACTTGAATACCTTTTTCTACAGTGCTGTCCTTTGTTTGGCAAACACTGATTCTTCCCATTCTCTAGTTCATTCATGTGCACAAACAACCATGACTTTTCCTTTAATCTCGTCAGAGTGATCAATTTTCAGCACAGTACTATGAATAGGGCTAGTTTGCGTTTGTTTTGATACTGAAACAACCTTCAAAGCATCCGTAGGACAAATTTTACAGTATCATGTATAAAATTACCTTTAAAAAATCCATTTTAGTTCTGCTACAAAAATTACTGGAAAACTTTTAAACCATCACATTATCTACCATATTCTGTTTTTAAGGCAGATAATAAATTTGGCCTGAGCTACAAGACTGTAATCACTTTGCTTCATGAGTTTTCTTGCAAAGAAAGCTCTCTACGGAGTCCACCCAGATGATTTCCCTCTTAATCTCCCCCTTCAATTTTATATAACTTGATATGGTAAAAGTGAGGGTGTACAGCAAAATAAACCATGGTCAAAGTTTCTTATTTTCCAAACAGCAGCATGGCTGTGGGCAGTTTAATGCTTGGTTTTGAATGTTACAGATTTATACAATTGTGGGTTCCCAGAGATGAAAATTAAAAAAAAAAAGCTTTATTCCAATGTCACTTAACAACTGATATCAATCTTTGGTCAGATTTGTTGTACATGTTGCTGGGAATGCTCTAATAAATGAAAAGAGGCAGAAGTGTCTAGCAGTTACATATTTGGATATGCCTTCCCCCCCTCCTTTTTTCACAGCAATTTTGAACCTTGGATGTGTTAGCCATTATCAAATTTAATGAGAAACTACACTTATCCAAGAGGAAGTTCTAGCTTATTTAACATAGGACATACAGTAGAACCTCAAAGTTACAAACACCTCGGGAACGGAGGTTGTTTGTAACTCTAAACAAAATGTTGTGGCGGTTCTTTCAAAAGTTTCACAACTGAACAGTGACTTCATACAGCTTTGAAACTTTACTATGCAGAAAAAATGCTGCTTTCCCTTTATTTTTTTAGTAATTTATGTTTAACACAGTACTGTACTCGCTGCTTTTTTGGGTGTGGGTGGTGTCTGCTGCTGCCTGATAGCGTACTTCTGGTTCCAAATGAGATGTGGTTGATTAGGTAGTTCGTAACTCTGAGGTTCTACTGTACTCCATACAGATACTGCCTCTCTCTGTCCCAGTTTCCTGACTGGGAAACGTTTAAGTACTGGTATACGATCTTCAGTCAGTCATACCACCTCCTCCCCCCCCCCCCCCAGCCTCACCCCCAATCAGATTTTCTGTGGAAAGTCTCCACTCCCTCCAAAAAGTTGATGTAAGTGAAAGAGAAGCGTAGCTTCAGGTAGTTCCAGTGACTAATAATAGAAGCAATGTGGATTTACTTGTTCTTTAATGTGATTGCTCTGTAACATACTCAGTTACATTCTCAGTAGTGGTGGAAACAGAGCCGTTACCTGCCAGACAAACACTAGCAAGATCACATGCTTTAATATACTCCTCAGCTATTTTTCCTTATCCAAACCACACTAGTTTAATTTCAAGTATATAAAGTCCTATCAGTTTGAAATGGATATGAACATAAGTTCCTTCAATTACAGTTGTACATTCACCTAAAGTGAATTTCTTGGCAGACCACCATGGATCATCTGAATGCTCATTAACTACATTATCCATGCAACAAAAACAAAACCTAAGATTTTTTTTCAAGCCACTTAAAAGCCTAGTTTATATTGAATTTTCTGTTCTTGAAGGTGTGATGTGTACCACCATAGAAGCACATCTACTACTTCTGGCTTAAAGTCTTAGGAGTGCAGTCATCTCTGCAATGCTAAAACTGTGCGTCACCATTAATCCACTTTCCTCTGCATATTCACTTTCTGGATACATTTTTATTGATGCTATGCACATGAGTAAAGCCACAATTCTAGCAGTTTATAAATTAGTCTAAACTATTATATTTCATTGAAAATCTATTCTCAGCTCCTCTTTTTCCTCTCCTCGTGTTTATTTCAAACCTTTCATTGCTTAGTAAGTTATAAAAAGAGCACTGTATGATCATACCATATATTGCACCATTGCTGTTATCACCATTGGCTGCATCTTGCTGCCTTTCCAGTTGTATGCTCCTCAGTGGCTCCTGGCAGACATAGATTGTTAAACGGGGCCTAACGGACCTGCAATTTACAAAGGATACATATAATTTTAAAAACAAACACACTTGCCCAAAAACGGTATAAAGGATTTATATCCATCTTATTTCAGTTTCCTTGCATTAACAATGTATTTAAAATTTCGCTGCTTTACAAGCTATTTAAAAACAAACAAAAAACACCTCATACAAACTGTCACCAGTGGCTTAATCTAATGGTCTAGTCTCAGAACCATTGAGATGCCAGATGCTGGTAAATTTAATTTTAAAAATTAATTCAACAATTTAAAATCAGACACAAGACTTGCTTACAACGGAATCCTGGAACACAGCTACTGAATAGCAATAATTACAGCTCTTATAAAGACAGTATGTTACTAAATATGTATTATCAGTTTCGTTTGTCATTAGAATTCTGTATTTGTTAATTATTTAGCAGCCATGACCTCAAAAAATTTAGGTTCTTTATAGCTCACCTAAATGAGAAGTTTTGTCTCTTGGCAACAAACCCATCCGTCTTCAAGAAATCAGTACTGCCCAACTGCATTGCTACCAGTCTTACAGTCTACCTTTGAACTCATCAGTGCCTGCATCATATCTGTAGCCTGCCCTGAAGGTGTACACAAAACAGTCTTCTTTTGAGCACATTACTGCCAACTCCTGAGACAGCTAAACAGGCATATGCCAACCTAATTCTCAATTCATATCTCCCAAATCCCTATTCTAAGAAAGGCACATTACTGTGATTGGACAAAAACACTTAAACGTAAACTTGGCATTTTACCTGGATTTCAGTGCATTATATAGCCGAATACCATCGGCTGGACCACAAATTTGTACCAGGTCCTCTCTTGTCAGCTTTAATAAATCAGCACCTGGAGAAATTCAGAAGAGCAGGATTTAGCTAGTTTCTTTTAGGACAAGGAAGCTCAAAAGAATCCAATATTCATTAAAAACAAGTTACAAAATTGGCCCTTGAAAAACAATGCAACACTGAAAGATAAACATCAACAGTAAAGACTAAGATGATTTTGATAACACTGCAAAACACACAACAAATAATTACCTGATTTTCAGAGAAAGTAGCACCCCTAGCTCCAGCTTAATTCAGCACCCTTGAAAATCAGGTAATATGACTGCAAAACGTCACCGGTTTTAGTAAAAATGGTTTTAAATACTAGACTGCTCTATAGATAAATCATAGTTTAACTGGCTTAAGAAAAGGTTAAGAGATTTACACCTGGACTAATGTTTCAGTCAGATGCAAAATGGAGGAAAAAATACACCAGTAGAAGTATTGTTTTATCGCGGCCTGCTGATCCTTGTATTGTAGTATAGCTTTTGTGATACCATTTATTTTAGACTGTGCGCACTGAAAATGCTCTGGTTACATTGCTGTTCACTAGAAAGATTATGCATATCAGAAAATTTGGATGAAAAAGAAGTTCCTCTGACACCCACCACAGTCGCTAGATGTCCATATGTTAACTGTATCAAGAACCTCAGAGAGTAGGGCTTCAGCATATATTTACCAAATTCTGGCAACATGTAATGCTATATCACAAGATCAGCTGCTGTCTACTTTACCTCCAACCTTCTCTAATTTGAGTCAGTTACCAAAGAACAGTCTCACAAATGGTATCAAGAATCCACATTTACAGAGGAATAACTATTTCTACCATCTGCCAACCAATAAAAAGACCACAATATTAAGTGCAGTTCTACTCTGAAAAATGATTATGCAAAAATGACACCTTCCTAATAGACACAGCTGCATCCTAGGGTGTATTCAGAGTCAGATCATCTTACATGACAATTCCCCCCCCTCCCCATTTTTTAATCCTATTAGCCTTGCAGAGCCAACACAGCAGTAACATAACATGTTCAATTCCATTTCTTTCTTGTGCAACAGAATTGTGTATTGAATTCTGATTTTAAGGCCTAGGTCTCTCTGCAAATCTACTGAAGAAGAGGTTACACAAATGTCACTGAGGGCATAGTCTGAAAATTCAGCTCCAGCTTGGCAGAGGTACTTCAGGGTCTTGATGTGTAGTGGAGAAGATGGTGCAGAAAGGTCTACATTTATTAGACACTGGGGATTTTTTTAGCCAAGGGAAGCTATAAGATGGAGCCACTCCTTCTGTAATCAAAATGGAACCAGACAGATGGCACAAAATAAATGAGGTTTTGACTGAGTTTTTAAACTAGGAGCTTGGGGGAAGAGGACAGGAGCCGAGCAGTACAGGGACATCTTTCAAAGATATCAGTAATTATAAGGAATAGTACTATGTAGCCAATAAAGGGTAGCACAAAATGCAACTGATCTAGAAGAGGGACAGGAAAACCAGAGGAAACTTTTGAGAAATAATAACAGAATAATAATAAAAACAAAATGTCAAAAAACCCAAAAACCCACAACCACCTTACAAGTGTTTATGTACAAATGAGAAGCTAAAAAAGCAAAAGTAAGTCACCTAGAATTCCTCAGAACAAAAGACGATTCTGATATAATAGATATTAGAGATGTGGAATGACAAAAGTTAGTGGAATACTGCAATACCTGGCTATAAACTATGTAGGACAGACTAGGCCAATTAGGTAGAGTAGTAGTCTTGCATCTTAAGGATTCCATAGAGTCTAGTGAGATAATCATTCTAAGTGAGAGGACCATGCATTTGAATTTGTATTGATATGAATCCTAAGCTTTAAGAATGTAAGTAAATTAGTACAGCTATGTTACTGGCCTCTGGATCAAAAAAGGAAACCTAATGCAGAATGTTGAGAGAACACAGAGGCAGCAAAACCTAAAAAAAATAATAAAGTGAGAGTTCAGCTATTCACATATAAACTAAATGGCACAATGGGGCAAAGTTTAGAGAAACACTTTCAACATTTTAAGCGATTGCTTATTTCTGGAACGCAAGAGGAGAGGCTATTCTCAATTTACTCTCAAACAACACACAAGAGTTAGTTCGAAAGTGTCATTAGCTGTGCTGCTAAGTAATAGAGTGATCACAATAGAATTAGAGTCAAAATTCTAGGGGGATGCAAGATACCAAAAAGTGACACACTGACAGTTTCAGAAAGACCGATTTTAATAGACTGAGAGTAGTCAAAAAGTCCCTAAAGGCAAAACTTAAAGAAAGTAAAATCCTTAGAAGTGGCATGCATACTAAAGAAAACAATAGACTCGGATGACCTGCATGCCACTGAACAAAAAGGGAACCCAGGCAGTAAAGTGTAAAGCAGCATGGTGAAATGATAAGGTTAATGAAGTTACTTGAACCAAAACAGCTATCCTTCAAAATTTGGAAATTTGACACTAGTCAGACAGCAGCATAAATTATAGCAGGCAAGAAGAGCCAAAATGGATTTCAAAGAGCAAATAGCTAAATATGTAAAAACGAACACAAAGTTTAGTACATCAGAAGCAGAAAGATTGCAAAAGAATCAGTGAGGTCTGCTAGATCACTACAGACTAAAGGGAACAAGAAGGCATATACGAATCAGAGACCACCAGAGAAGAAAGGCATCCAGCAACAAGCCTGGGTTTATTTTTTCTCTGGAATAGAAGTTCGTGCATTTGGTACTGTCTTCTGTGAACAATGAGGGGTTCTTAATTGATGGAATATGAGATCTAAAACATACTTCAGCTAGCACTCATATCTGACCACTGCATGCCTCCATAAAATGTCTCCCAGGTTGAGGACGACCTCTGGGAGGTGTATAGACAATGGGATAATTCTGTAGTGATGGCACTGTTTCTAGAGCCTGATGGCTTCCTGGTAGACAGGGGATTACCACATTCCTCCCTGTTTTTATATAGTGCATAGCAGACATGTCTGTGAGGATTGGTACCATGGAATTCCAAAGGAGGACAGGAACATTATGCAGGCTAGACTGATGGCCCTCAGCTTCAAGATGGTCAAATATAATCACAGATCCTGGACCCGTGTGTCTTGCACCTGCAGGTGGTTCATGAGGCCAGCCCACCCTGTCCCTGGATTGTTTGTGATAAATGTCAGTCAGGGAGGGGACAGAGTCAGATCCTTTTTTGTATGTTCACTGGATCCAGCCACATCAGCTCTTGTAGGATGTGGGACAGGACTGTGACTTTTTTGTTCATGTAGTGTCCAGACAGGGCATACACAGACCTTAGGCACAGTTGTAAGGGCTGAAGATGAATTCTGGCAAGCAGCGTTACATATATACATGGCAACATATGGCCTAAGATCTCCAGACATGCACACACAATCATAGTTGGGTTTGACTACAGGTAGTTTACCATCAACTGGTGACACTGGACTCTGCTCTATGGCAGGTAGACTGACTAATAGGGAGTTGATCACAGCTCCTATAAACCCTCTCATCTGAGATGTTGTTGGGGATTATTTCTCATTACTCATGTGGAGTTCTAGTTGGGGGAACAGAGAGAAAACTTATCCAAGGCTGTTGCACTCTCCTGTTGGGATCTGCATCTGATCAGCCTGACATCCAATAAGGATAGACATGGATTCCCTCGCCTCAAATATGTTCCTACTACTGCCTTGCACTCTAGCTGCCACGAAGACACTGAAGGGCCATGGTGTCTGTATTTGTTGAGTCTCCTCAGGTCTAAGGTAAGAAGGGGAAGGTCTTCATCCTCTTTGGAATTAGGAAATACTGAGAGTAGAAGCCTCTTCCCTTGCATTCCTTTGGAACCTCCTCTATGGTTCCTAAAAGCAATGAGGCCACCTCTGATTGCATGAGAGGGGCAGAGAAGTGGTGGGTGGGGTCAAGAGTGGAATTAGATGGGGTAGCCATGGAAAGGATCTCTGACACCCATCTGTCCGATATAATGGCAGACCATGCCCAGTGGAACAGGGACAGTGGCTCTGGAAGGTAGTTTGACCTTCATTTGACCAGTTCTGATGTGGTTCCCAGCTGTGCAATCAAATTTGCTGACATGTCATGGGAGTGGTGTGCATTGCTGAAGAGGAAGAAGGTTGGCGCCCCCCTCTGTCATACCGTGGTATTTTCTGTGCCTGGTATTCAGGATGCCTGTGCTGGTATGCAGGCATCCAAGGCCTCATCTGCAGGTGAGGACTGTATGGCTTATGATATTCCCCAGGGAATTTAAGGTGGCCTTTGAGTCTTAATGAGTACAGAGCAGTCTGCTGGCTAAAGGGCTCTGTGCCCACAAAGGTTAAGTCTTCATTGTGACTTTTACCTCTCTCAGGATACCCAATACTTGGAGCCACAAAGTTCTGCACATCACTGTGGTTACCACAGATCTCACCACAGTGCTGGTGATGTTCATTGTGACTTGGTGTGTCATCCAGGCTACCAGTTGACACAACCTCAACCCTTGATTATGTTTCTTACCACCTCTCTGGCATCTTGTGGAGCACTGGAAGAAGGGGGGGGTGTGTGTGTCACCTTGTACTACGTTAAGAAGTTATATTAGGCCAGTAAGACCTGGCAGTTGGCTGCATGCAATTGTAGAGAGAGGCAGAAAAGTGAGACTTTCTCCCAAAGAGGTCAAGCCTTTTCAAGTCCAGGTCTTGGATGGTACTCTTGCTCAACTTAGATTTTTCCTGTACCACGAACAGAACTAAGAAGCCTGGGTTGGGGTGAGTACAGAAATACTCAAACCTTGTTAAAGGTATTTGGTACCTCTTCTCAACCTGTTTCATGGTGGGCGTTATTGTGGCTGGCACCTGCCACAGGGGCTGGTTGGGTCAAGCAGCCCCTTCTTTCTTGGGATGGTAATATTATCCAGGCCAAGAACTGATAAGATGTCATATAATTTGGTATTTCTCTTCTACCACTGCTGTCTCTATCTCCAGAGGGAGTGCCTAGAACGCTTTAAAGTCATCAGGCATTGGTACCAATGCCAAGGATACTGCCTTTTCAGGAGATGAAGCTAAGAGGTTCCGTAGGGGGCAATATGGGGTGCTGGTGTTGCTCTACCCTAGGATCTGGTTCCTCCCAATATTCCAGCATACATGGTCTAGCCAGAGATGCTGACTGGGAACGTGACCTCTTCCTCTATTACAGTGAAGACCGGTTCCCCAATGCCTGAGATGGTGGCATTACTGTTGACTCTTGGGCATTGACCAGTCCACTGCCAGTCTTGTGGTGGTGGCTGATCCCTGTAGGGGATTTTGGCAAGCCACTCCAAGGTATTGACCTCCAATCTGAGGAGAGGGGGTTCTCAGCTTGAAGATGGGGAGAATGTATGCTCAGGTTATAGTGAGGAGGAGACGACCTCCTCTACGAGCAACAACGACTTACATGGCACTCTCAGTACCACGGTCTGTACCAGTAGCAGCAGGTGCTTCGGCACTGGTGGTTTTTCCAAGTCTACCTTGGGCTCGTTCACCATGGTTGGTGTTGATGCTGAGGGGTCAGTGCTGGTGTGGTCTTGGGTGCCACAGGCTGCTCCATTTCCCTAGCCCTCAATGCAATGCAAGACCTGGTGGATTTCTCTGCAGAGGCTTTGCATTACCTGTCTTTATGGGAGGACACCAAAAGTTCTGTCTGGAGTCTCTACCACTATGGTTTAAGCAACCTGTTGGTGCTAGACTTGGACGCTGTAGTTGGTGGTCCCTGTTTTGATGCTGATATGTGCTTTGGTGCCATAGCAGCTGTGCCCTGTTTCTTTTGTGGTGGTGTTTTGTTCACACTGGTATCTTGTCTGCTGCAGAGGGTGCTGAATGAGCCTGGTTTGTCCTCTAGCAGGATTTGGAACTCGTCTCCTCAGGCCCTAAGACAGACCTTTATGGATTGTTCTGGAAAGTGGCATTTGAACCTTGTGTCTTATGACTTAACATAATTTAGCAAGAAACATCAGGCACATCGAACATCTTCTTGGTATGTGTGATTCTCCAAGGCAGAAGAGACACCTACTGCATTAAATCTTTTAGGGGGACTAGTCCAGCGCAGCATGAACAGGGCTTGAAGCCTGCAGGTTTCAAGTCTGTCATGTTAAGGAGCTCTTTAGAGGGCGGGTTGACCTCCAATAATCTCCAATATCCCAGCAGTTGAAGAGGAAGATAATCAAAGGAGTTCTGAAGAAGTTCACAAGATTTGAAGAAGGCTGAGCCACATCTATGGTCAGACATTCACCATGTTCCATTTTGCTGCCACGGGTGGTAAGAACGGACTGGCTATTCCATTCTTTATGCGCTCAAATGGGAGCATGGTGTGGCACAGGGTGTACATGAAGCCCCAACAGACACTGCTACTCAAGAAATTCCAGTCACATGCATGTCTACAGTGGGATCTACACTGACACATGCTCTAAGAACAAGGGAGATTTCAATAAAATGGAGAAGTAGCAAATTCAAAACCAATAAAAAAAAATACTTCTTCACACACCATATGAAACTAGAACTCACTGCTACATTGTGTTGTTGAAGCCAAAAATATTAACATTCAAAAAGTGATCAGCTATACATATGAAGAATAATAATATCCAGAGTTGTTTTAGTTAATGCTAACAAATTTTGGGAAGAGATTAAGCCTCATGCTTTAGGGCTTAAACCAATCTGTAACTACTAGGAATTAGGAAGAGACCTAACTGGGGAGAAGAAGGGCCTACATTATCTTGCACCTTCCTCTGAAGAACATGGTGCTGACCAATGTTAGAGACAGGACACTGAACTAGACAGACCACGGATCTAATCCAGTGTGTCAATTCATTTTCTTCCTAAATAAGGAGTGAATCATCATTTAATTGAGTCTGTGAACCATTATTACCAGTGGTAATGCAGAAGAAAGAACCCAGTTTCACTTTCAGTGTCAGGCTGAGTTTGTAGAGCTGGCAGTTAAAGGCAGTTTTTTCCCTGTAAACTGAATGTTTGGCCTAGAAATCAGAAAGACAGTAACTATTCAACCCCATTTTTACAGAGTAATTTTTCAGAGAAGACTCTCACTCAAAACTTGAGGGAAAACTCTAAATAGACATTAAAAAAAAATACCTGAGAAATTTGAAAAAAGCCTTGTATAGGTAGAGAACCTATGTTTGAGTAACCACTGCTGAGTTTCCTGGATTGTGGCTGAAGGATGAAGTTGCTGTGAGAAACAGGGTTGAAGACGACAATTTTGATGTTAATTTTTTTTTTAATAAAACAAATAAAATCAACTACTTTTTTACATTATTAAAAACAATTAAGTATCTAATTTCCTTTCATCAGAACACAGCAATAATGAAATCAGTATGAATCGCCTCCACTTCACCGATTATTCAGCAATTAGGTACAAGGTTTGCATTGTGTAATGAAGACCGAACAGGAAACTAGATACTCACATCTCCAGACCCTTGAGAAGTTCCATCTCCTTGATGATTTGGGGAGGAAGAATTGCTATGGTGGAGAGGTGGAACAAAAATAATGATATTACTGGATTTTTAAAAGTTAAGAGAATAAAACCATTCAAGCATTATTGATAAAAGTAACCTTCAATTTCCAAAATGATAAAAAAAAATCCCTATTTTATGGCAGCAGCATGATTCCTAGGTTAAAGACCACTTAGGGAATAAACTGGTCTGGTGGAGATATGCTGTAAGAAAGAGGAATATCATCACTTAGACTGTGCAAATCACTTGGTTCCTAATCTAATCCCTGCTAGTCAACTGAAAAAGCAGCACCCATAATAAACTCACACATCCAACCATCTATCTTAAAAGGAAGAAATGAATAGTGGTCACAGGATTGAAGAGGTAAGAGAGGTGCTGTCCATCCTCTGATGCACAGGTCAGTCACAAAAAAGGTAGAGATGCCAGGATCAGCTTTCTGAACACCCTGAAAAAAATTAGTGGTTCTCCTGAATGTTGCATTAGTGACAGTAAATTACACCAATACTTTACATTTATATAGCACCTTTCAACCCAGTTGCTTGTATTTTATACATATGGCACCACTGCAGAGGCCTCTGACAAGGAGGGCATCAGTCAACCAGAGCAAAACATGAGATAGAATAGTAGGCTAACCTCTACTCTTACATAACATTCAGCTCAGATAGGTTCCGTTTTTAAAGTCTAATCTGAAAGACTGATATAGATACTGGCCTGGAGTTCTATTCTGAGGCTTAGACTTAAGGATGTGCCAACCATACCAAAATGTGAAACACATGTCTACAAGACAAATGAAATATTTAAAACCTGATATTTAGATTACTAAGCAATCCTTTCCAGCAGAGCCTATAGGTTTCAGAGCTAACGTGTGTACTTTTTAAAGCTTTTCTCTGCAGAAAACGCTTCTGTCAAACATTCTTCTTCCCCCCCCAACACCCCCATTAGGCCAGGTCTGAAGGGTAAAATCTGTAATCTGTCACTGTCATGGCGTCTCCTTCCCAAATACCATCATAAGCAAAGAGATGCATATTAAATGTTTTCTGTAAGTGCTTCAACTACAGCACCTACTACCAGTAAGCCACCACCCTTGAAGATAAAAAAGTAGAAAGACAAAAGAAAAACATGGAGAGAAAGACAACACTCTTGATCATAAATCTTCCCCTAGGTCCCTCATCTTTAGTTGTGCTATCTCACCTGACTCCCCTTGGTTTAAATGAAGGAAGTAAGATTGATTAACTACTTAGCAGCTATTCCTGGTATTTCACTTTGAATTTCTTAGATTAGATTTACTGTAATATCCCCCTTCTCTTACAGGAATAAGTTATAGTGGTACAAGCACTTTTATACCAATATTACTGTCCACACGAGAGGGGGTTGTACTGCTATAACTTCACTGATACAGTTTAAGTGGTCCGACTTTCATGTAGATAAGGCCTTAGCAAGTACTTTTCCTTTTAACTGGGATATTTACTATTAATTGTGCTAGGGTCAATAAATTAAAGTTTCCAGCAGTGGATACTGAGGAGGGAAAATATGATTCCTGGGGTTGGAGGAATAATTTTACAATTGAAAAAAAATGCCAAAAGTATCGGAGTTCTGAAAAATGTTGGCCACAGTTTTACATTCCCCCCCCCCCCCCGCCCCCGCAGCTTAATTTTGGGGACTGGTAGTCAAGCTTTCATATTTATATATGATCTACATTCAAATTAAAGGAAAATGCTTTAAGCATAAGATTGATTTTTTTAAAAATACCTCAGATTAAACTACAGAAAAGAAACTTACCTGTCTGGGACACTGTAGGTACTATGTTGAGCAGAGGTAAAAGTTGGTGTTGGGGTAGGGCTGTTGTTTACAAATGCTGTAGGAGTATCAGGCCATGGTGAGCACTGATGATACAGAAAAGAATTAAACAATACATTTATCCTAAAACCTATGTCACTTTGGCATGTAGTCTTACACTCAAAAGCCCTAAATTCACTCTTGTAGAATTTTAACCTTAATTTTAATTAAGTTTCCTCCACCCCACTTGTTCCATGCATGTATCTGATCCTGACCAGGAATTTTAACTAAAACAAAGCTTTTTTTTTTTTTTCCTGTTCCATGAAGGAAATTCCTATTTATTAACAACTTGATTATTGCTTTCTAATGACACAATGAAGGTGGTGATGATGGAGCTGATGGAAGGACTGCAGGGATTATTCAGTTAATAAAAATTTTTTTTAAAAATGAACACATCTGAAATCCGCACAAAACAACCCCAGTAGGCTGCAAATGGCTACAGAAGGTTCAGGAATAGTGAGTATAAACAAAGCGGAGAAACTAGATTTCAGAATGGCACTCAGTCAATAAGCTTAAAATGTGCCTACCCTGACAGTGCTTACATCAGCTGTTACTCTGAGATGTCTAGCAGTATTTCTTTTTCAGACTATCATTCTTTGGACTGAAATTTAAAAGTTATTTAGTATATGACTAAATTGATGCCCCCATGCAGTTTTGCTTTCTCTTAAGTTTCATGCTAAGCTGGGAGTTTCATTCATGAAGTAACTCATCACAAGCATTTACTGATAAACCCACTGTCAAGTTAGGTCAATTTTTTAAAAAATCTACCAGCCAGGATAAAGGCCCTTTAAAATGACACTGGTTTTAGTGCTCCAAATGCTTTATCATAATCTATTAAAAATTAAATTAATTTTTTAAAAAGATTTAGGTTTTAATAAAGAAATGTGCAAGGACAAATGGATAAACTCTAAAACAAGCAGCCAAAGAAAGATTAAATGAACTGAAGGTCAAGACCATGACATGCCAACACAGGTTTCTGATACACTCTCCAAGATTGTCTGTTAACCCAAATATCAGCTAAAGTTTCTCTAAGGCAGTTTTTAAAGCTATTTGTTGAGAAGCAAGACCAAAACAGTGAGTCCCAGAATTTAACAGGAGTCTACACTTCAAAATGGAAGATTCAGTGAACTTGAAATGCCTCATAGGTTTGAGTACTGAAAGGTCCTTTTATCGACTAGGAACCACAATAACATGAGAAAAATCTTATGCTGCCTGCACATTTTTTTTGACATGCTTATTAATGGTTTTGTACGAGAAGTCTGGCTTTCACTTGCCAGCAATGGGTACACCAAAAATCCTAAAACCGGTTAACGTTCCTAGAGACACTGGCTTGGGGCCTCAAAAGCTGGAAAACTTGGAAATCGCATATGAAGTGGACTCACTCTAGAGGTGGATTTGTGATCTTATTTTATTAATACAAAGAATGTCACATTGTTACCGTGTACAGATATAGCCAATGCTGGCATACTAGACTGCGACTTCACTCATACTAAACATGATCGTTCACTGTTACCCAGTACTCCCCCACCCATTCTGTCATATCTACCTGACGCCTCTCATCATAAACTAAGACTCTAAGCTCTCAGGGACAAGGACTCCATTATATGCGTGTACAGTACCTAACACAATGGGGCTTTGATCTCTAATGGTGAGCTCTAGGTACGACCACAATACAAATAATAAAACTAACGAGCCATCTATTTCTCTAGCACTAAGAGGAAAGTTTAGAGGGTGGAAGGTTTCTGACATCCCTAAAACATCACACGGCCAGGATACTACCTCCTGCCTGTGCTTTAGTGAGGCAATTTTCTGTATATACTTACCACTGGGACATTGTCTTTTGAACGGTTTTGATTTTAATACAGCTTATAGTGAATTTCTTCAGTTAAAGCTGCCAAAGATTTTTTAATTTTAACTTTTTAGCATTTACACCAAATCAGAATAACTTCCAGAACTCCAGAGTCTCAGGTAACACTGCACAGTGGGCTTTTGACTAACTTTAAGGAGAAATAAAAAAACCACTCAGTTCAGTTGGGACAGTGGGGTAATTTCCTTTGAAGATTCTCAAATTCTCAACCTCCAAAGTCCAAGAGACTCCACTACAAATAAGACAAGAATTACAACTGTCTTACTCTTTGGCTGCTTTCCTGAAGAGTTATTGTTCAAAAAACCTGAATTTTCTGACACCATAATTTGTGATAAAATACTATGTGATAGGGCCCTACCAAATTCGTGGTCCATTTTGGTCAATTTCAGGGCCACAGGATTTTAAAAATCTAAAATTTCATGATTTCAGCTCTTTAAATCTGAAATTTCATAGTGTGGTAATTGTAGGGATCCTGACCCAAAAAGGAGTTAAGGAGGCAGGGTGGTGGTGGTGGTGGTGGTGGGGGGGTGTTGCAAAGTATTGTAGGGGGGATTGCAGTACTGCCACCCTTACTTCTGTGCTGCTGCTGGCGGCGGTGCTACCTTCAGAGCTGGGTCCTCAGTCAGCAGTTGCCACTCTCCAGCCACTCAGCTCTGAAGGCAGTAGCACAGAAGTAAAGATGATATGTATGGTATTGCCACACTTACTTCTGCGCTGCTGCTGGCAGGGCGCTGCCTTTAGAGCTGGGCGCCCAGCCAACAGCCACTGCTCTCCAGCTACCCAGCTCTGAAGGCAGTGCACAAGGGTGGCAATGCCATGACCCCCCTTAAAATAACCTTGTAACCCTGCTGCAACTCGCTTTTGGGTCAGGACCCCCAATCTGAGAAATGCTGGCCTCCCCTGTGAAATCTGTATAGTATAGGGTAAAAGCGTACAAAACACCAGATTTCACGGTCCGTGACACGTTTTTCGCAGCTGTGAATTTGGTAGGGCACTAGTGATAATGCTTACTCAGTCTTTTTCCAGTACTCTGAACATAGTTACAACATATTTGTTTTGCTTAAATTTTCAAGGTTCCCCCCACAAAATGAGGAATATTTAGTCAAGTGATTAAAAAAAATTAATCGCTCGATTAATCGCACTGTTAAACAATAAAATAATGTTTATTTAAATATTTTTGGATGTTTTCTACATTTTCAAATATATTGATTTCTATTACACAGAATACAAAGTGTACAGTGCTCACTTTATATTATTTTATTAGATATTTGCATTGTAAAAATGAAAAGAAATAGCATTTTTCAATTCACCACATACAAGTACTGTAGTGCAATCTCTATCGTGAAAGCACAACTTACAAATGTAGATTTTTTTTATGTTACATAATTGCACTCAAAAACAAAACAATGTAAAACTTTAGAACCTGCAAGTCCACTCAGTCCTATTTCTTGCTCAGCCAATCGCTTAGAGAAACAAGTTTGTTTACATTTATGGAAGATACTGTTGACTGCTTCTTATTGACAATGTCACCTGAAAGTAAGAACAGACATTCGCGTGGCTCTTTTGTAGCCAGCGTTGCAAGGACAGTGCCAGATATGCTAAACATTCATATGCCCCTTCATGCTTCGGCCACCATTCCAGAGGACATGCTTCCATACTGATGATGTTCCTTAAAAAAAAAAAAGTGTTAATTAAATTTGTGACTGAATTCCTTGGGGGAGAATTGTATGCCTCCTGTTCTGTTTTACCCACATTCTGCCACGTTATAGTTGTCTCAGATGATGACCAAGCATATGTTTGCTTTAAGAACACTTTCACAGCAGATTTGACAAAATGCAAAGAAGGTACCAATGTGAGATTTCTAAGGATAGATCCAGCACTCGACCCAAGGTTTCAGAATCTGAAGTGCCTTCCAAAATCTGAGCAGGACGAGGTGTGGAGCATGCTTTCAGAAGTCTGAAAAGAGCAACACTCAGATACAGAAACTACAGAACCCGAACCATCGAAAAAGAAAAATCAACCTTCTGCTGGTGACATTTGACTCAGATGATGAAAATGAACATGCATTGGTCTGCTCTGTTTTGGATCGTTATTGAACAAAACCCGTCATCAGCATGGACATATGTTTTCTGGAATGGTGGTTGTAGCAGGAAGGGACATGAATCTTTAGTGCATCTGGCATATAAATATCTTGTGACGCCGGCTACAACTGCGCCATGCTGTTCTCACTTTCAAGTGACACTGTAAACAAGAAGTGGGCAGCATTATCTCCTGCAAATTGTAACCAAACTTGTTTGTCTGAGCGATTTGCTGATGTAGGACTGAGTGGACTTGTAGGCTCTGAAGTCTTACATTGTTATTTTTTGTACATAATTCTTCATTTGTAAGTTCAACTTTCATGATAAAGAGATTGCATTAGTACTTGTATTAGGTGAATTGAAATATACTATTGTTTATCATTTTTACAGTGCAAATATTTGTAATAAAAAATATGAAGTGAGCATTGTATACTTTGCATTCTGTTCTAATAGAAATCAATATATCTGAAAATGTAGAAAAACGTCCAAAAATATTTAATAAATTTCAATTAGTATTCTATTGTTTAACAGTGCGATTCATCAAGATTAATTTTTTTGAGTTAATTGCATGAGTTAACTGTGATTGACAGCCCTAATAGTTACACAATATGCACATTAAGAGTTGTATGCTGCTCTCACTGTAGCACTTTACATTAAGCCATGCTGCAATTACTGTTCATAATATATTAAGATGATCAAGAAAATGAATATATGAGACAGCCAGTCAGAGGCAAGACAAGGATATTTGTGTCCACCACTGCACAGTAAAGTGGTTGCTACTTATTAAACATCTTCTGTTTGATATCAAAATAGTAAAACAAATGATATCCCTAATTTCAACCAATTAAACATTCTCAACCTTTCAATGGCCTAATATTTATTCACCCTTACTTTCTCTTAAGCCACTGACTTCAGACTATAGAGTCTCACATGAACTTCATTTCTCTTTAAAAAGCCTTGTTTATAGAAAGTTTTTTTTGTATCAGAATGGATTAATATTACATGACAACAGCAAGATAGAGGTCAGCATTTTTATATACAACTGTGTCGTCTTGCAGAAGAACCAGAAATATTTTCCAACAAGCCAGAGTTGCTTTAATCA